AAGGGGTTCCCACATTTTAGATTTCCCCTGAGGGTTTTGGGTTTTTTTTAATTGGTGATTGTTTTTTCTAAAAAAAACCTGATCTTTTTAAAAAAAAAATTTTTAAAAATTTTTCCCCATTTATTTTTTTAAACCCCCTTTTTGTTTCCCTATTTTTAAGTCTTTTAAGGGAAAAAAACTGAAAACGTTTTAAAAATCTAAAAAATATTTTAAAAAATTTATTTTGGAGTAGCGGAAACCCACCCCCCAAATTTTCCCCAACTACACCAATGAATATGGGGGGGAAAACACTGCACAAAACCCCTTACCCGAATAAAAAGAGTTTTAAAAACCCGTGAGGGAAAAAAAAAATATTTTATCCCCCGGGTTTCCCCCCAAAAGCAAAGGGCATGAAACAGTCCCTTTAAATTTTTTTTGGGAGGGTTTTTTTGGGAAAAATTTAGAGGGGGCAGAATAAAAAAAAACCAAAAAACCAAAAAAACGGGATTTCCCCAAAAAAGTTAAAAAAATTTTTTTGGGATTTAAGAGGGGAAAAAAAAATATTTGGGCCCCCCTGCAAAAAAAATGATTATACTGGGTGGGAAAAAAACCCTTTTTGGCAAATTTTACAGAGGTTTAGGGCGTTCTTGTAGTTGGCCCCCCAGGTTTTTACAATTCAGGAGGGATTTTGGGCCCCCCTCCTCTTTTTCGATTTTTCTCCAAATTTATTTTAAAAATTTTTGGGTGAGTTTTTTGGCCCAAATCGAACCTTTAGCTTTCCCCCCCACAGATTTTTTTTATGGGGTTAAAGGGCTGGGGGGAAGGCTAAGGGGGACCCCCAGGGGGGCCCTTTAATTTGGGTTTTCTAGAGCAAATCCCCCCGTTGCCTTTTGGCCCTTTTGTTTTGGGTCATTGTCATGTGGGAAAACCCATTTCCCCGACCCATTTTTAATGCCCTGGGTGAGGGAAGGAGGTTCACCCAAAATTTGGGCGGTTTCAGGGCCCCCCTCCAAACGTCCCTTTTAGCCGGGTTTAAGGGTGTCCTGTCCCCCCTTTGCAAGGAAAAAAAAAACCCCCCAAAAATAATGTTTTTCCCCCTCCATTTTTTGGGCGGTTTGGGGGTGGTGTTTTGGGGGTCATTTGGCAGCAATTCCTTTCCCCCTCCAAAAAAAGGGAGTTGAAATTGATGCCCAAAAAAGCTCCAAATTTTGGTTTTCATCTGGAAACCCCAAAACTTTAAACCCCGTTATCCTTCGGGAAACATTTCAGATGTCCTTGGAAAATTTTAGGGGGGGGCCTGTATAGTGGTTTTTTTGGGGGCAAATGGGAAACCCCGGGGGGGGGCCCGGGGTTTTAGTCCTTTTACGGGGTAGGGGTTTCCAAAATTTTTTTCTTGGGTGACTATGGTCCCAGTGCCCTTTAGATCAATTTGGGCCCAAAATCCCTCGTTTTAGTTCTGGGCTGATCCTTTCCCCTTTCATGATTTAAAAAAAACCCCGAGGGGTGAGATTTTTTGCATGGGGCCCCCGGCCGAGGGAGACTGGGCAGTTATTTTTTTGGTTTTTTCCTTGCGGGGTAATCGCAAACCAAAATTTTTGGTTCCCCTTTTTCACCAAATGTTTGGGATGGTCTTGGAGCCCATTCCAAGGGCCCTTTTGAGGGGCTCCAAAAACGTTTTTTCCCGGGCAATTTCCCTTTGGGGAAGGGTCTTTGGGGCTTGGCAGGGGGTAGAGTTTGGAATTGATTGATTGATTGTTTTTTGGGACAGGTGTCTTTTATTTAGGTAAAAAAGCTGAGATTAGGAAACACTCCCTTTAAGAGTGTGCTCCCAATTTTTCAAAAATGGGACCTGTATAAAAAAAGGGGCACCCGGGGAAAAAAGGAAAACTTTTTTGATTTTAGAGGGGGGGCAAAAACCTTTTTTTCCCCCCATTTTTAAAAGGGAAATCCAAAAAATTTTAACTTTTTTACCCTGGTTTTTTAGGGTTTGTTGTTTTTGTTATTCTTTTCTTCCCCTGTTCCCAAAAAAAACCTACCAAAATTAAAAAAATTTTAGGGACTGGGTTTTATTTCTTTTTTCAGTGGGCCAAAAAAAGTAACCCAAAAAAAAACAGGGGAAACAAATACTTTTTTTCCCCCCTCACTGTATTGAGGAGAAAGAAGCAGGTCCTTACTGACTACAGGGGAACCCTCGTACGTCAGGTCTGGGCTGGTGTCTCTTTAGGTGTTTACTCTTCAGACCAAGAAGGGCTCGGTGGAACGACGCTCCACACTGGGTGCACGATACTTAGATTCACCTGGAGGACATTTAACAGCGATTTTACCACAAGTAATGATTCTGAAATCAGACTACAGGTAACTGCCAAAGTAAAGGAACCACTTGAGTAAATGAGGGATACAAAGTATATTGAAAAGCAGGTGCTTCCACACGGTTGTGGTTTCTTTGTTAATTAAGCAATCCCCATGCTTACGTTCATGTATAAAAAATGCCCAGTTGCCCATTATTTTGGCTACCTTGGCTAGAAGAAGAGATCTCAGTGACTTTGAAAGACGGGGTCTCAAAGGAGCACAGAGGGTCTAAAGGACGGGGGCGTCTCAGTCACCAGATGATCTCAACCCAAATGAAACACTTACGGGAGATTCTGGAGCGGCGCCCGAGACAGCGTTTTCCACCACCATCAACAAAACATTTACATTACATTTTAGTCATTTAGCAGACGCTCTTATCCAGAGCGACTTACAGTTAGTGAATATATTTTTTTATACTGGCCCCCATGGGAATCGAACCCACAACCCTGGCGTTGCAAACGTCCATGCTCTATCAACTGAGCTACATCCCTGCCGCATTCCCTCCCCTACCCTGGACAACGCTGGCCAATTGTGCGCGCCCATGAGCTTCTCCCGGTCGCGGCCGGCTGCGACAGAGCCTGAATTCGAACCAGGATCTCTAGTGGCACAGTTAGCACTGCGATGCAGTGCCTTAGACCACTGCGCCACTCACCATTACCTTACACACAAATGATGGATTTTCTCGTGGAAGAACGGTGTCGCACACCTTCCGATAAGAGTTCCAGACACTTCTAGAATCTATGGCCAGGTTCTGGCTGCTGGCAGTGGCCCAACGCCCTTTTGAGACACTTTATGTTGGGGTTTGCTTTATTTTGTCAGTTACCTGTGTAGCTAGTATCACTATCATCAGTGAGCAATGTGTTGCTATGGAGTTAGGACTAATACCCCTTATCACACTACTGTGCCCACCTGAACCGTACGGACTCAGAACACTGTCCTGTCTAGCCACTATAGTGGATGCCTAGCCGGGCCAACGCAGAACAGCTCTGCTTCGATCAGCTCAACTTGGCTCAGTAGTGTGACGAGGGATTTGTAAGGGTAATGGTGTATTGTATAGACAGACCTGTGTGAATGCTGGTGTGTAAGGTAATGGTGTATTGTATAGACAGACCTGTGTGAATGCTGGTGTGTAAGGTAATAGTGTATTGTATAGACAGACCTGTGTGAATGCTGGTGTGTAAGGTAATGGTGTATTGTATAGACAGACCTGTGTGAATGCTGGTGTGTAAGGTAATGGTGTATTGTATAGACAGACCTGTGTGAATGCTGGTGTGTAAGGTAATGGTTATTGTGGTAAGGTTAATGGTGTATTGTATAAGACAGACCTGTGTGAATGCTGGTTGTGGTAAGGTATAGTGTATTGTATGTATGAGACAAGACCTGTGTGAATGTGGTGTTTGGAAGGTTAATGGTCGTATTTTTTTGTTATTTTATAGACAGACCTGTGTGAATGCGGTGGTGTAGGTAATGCTGTATTGTATAGACAACCTGTGTGAATGCTGGGGTTGTAAGGTATAATGCTGTATTGTTATAGACAGAACCTGGTGAAGCTGGTGTGGAGGTAATGCTGTATTGTATAGACAGACCTGTGTGAATGCTGGTGTGTAAGGTAATGCTGTATTGTATAGACAGACCTGTGGGAATGCTGGTGTGTAAGGTAATGCTGTATTGTATAGACAGACCTGTGTGCAATGCTGGTGGTAAGGTAATGCTGGGATTGTATAAGACAGACATGGCTGTGAATGCTGGTGTGTAAGGTAAATGGTGATTGTAGAAGAACAGAACCGTGTGAATGCTGGTGTGTAAGGTAATAGGTAATTGTATAGACAGAAAGGTGTGAATGTGGTGTGTAAGTAAGGTAAGGGTTGTATTGTATAGACAGACCTGTGTGAATGGCTGGTGTGTAGGTAATGGTGTATGGTATAGACAGACCTTGTGTTGAATTGCTGGTGTGTAAGGTAATGGCCTGTAGTTGTATAGGACAGACTGTGTGAATGCTGGTGTGTAAGAGTAAATGTGTATTGTATAGAAAGACCTGATGTGAAGGCTGGTTGGTAAGGTAAATGCGTATGTATAGAAAGGACCTGCTGTGAATGCGGGGTTGTGTAAGGTAATGCTGTATTGTATAGAAGACCTGTGTGAATGCTGGGTGGTAAGGTAATGTGTATTGTATAGACAGAACCTGTGTGAAATGCTGGTGTGTAAGGTAATGCGTGTATTGTATGACAGACCGGTGTGAATGCTGGTTGTGTAAGGGTTATGGTGTATTGTATAGACGACAGGTGTGAATGCTGGTGAGTGTGTAAGGTAATAGTGTATTTGTATAGACAGACCTGTGTGAATGTTGGGGTGTAAGTAATGGTGTATGTATAGGACAGACCCTGTGTGAATTGCGGGTTGTGTTGTAGGTAAGCTGTATTGTATAGACAGACATGGGGTAATGCTGGTGTGTAAGGTAATGGTGTTGATGTTATAGACAGACCTGGGTGAATGATGGTGTGTAGTGGTGTGGAAGGTAAGGTTGTATTGTTATTAGACAGACCTGTGTGAATGCTGGTTGTTGTAAAAGGTAATGGTTGTATTGTATAGACAGACCTGTGTGAATGTGGTGTGCTCCTCCAGACTTCGCTTACTAACGAAGGACTGTCACAGAGACAAGACAGTGGAACGGTTTAACAGCTTTCATGCACCATCTGTGCTTTCAGGGAGTTGTTATGAGCAAACGTCTTCCCACAGACCGTGCAGCAGTGGGGCCTCACACCTGTGGAAATGATCATTACAACAATAACTAACGCGAAGGAGAAGAAGAGTGGATTTATATAAATATTTTACACCAAGGTGCACAAAGGGGGGAAACTGACTGACCAGTGTGGTTAAGCATGTGGATCCTCAGCGAGTACAGCTTAGGAAGGGTCTTTCCACAGATGTCACAGACAAACTCTCTCTTGGTGCGTCCCTTGGCCCTGCCGTCCCCCTCGAGGCCCTCCTCACCATGGGACAGGGGGACCCTAACCAGGGTGGGCCTCTGGCTCTTTTGGTGCTTGTGTCTGGCCAGATGGGCTCTCAGAGAGGCAGCGTACTGGAACTCCTTGTTACACAACTAGAGACAGAGGGGGGGGGGGGGGGGGGGGGGGGGGGGAGGGGGAGAGTGGGGGGGAGAGAGAGAGATGGAGAAAGAGAGCAGGGGGAGGGAGAGAGAGAGAGAGAGGGGGAGATTTTTTAGCAGGATTTCTAATGTACTGTATTTATTACACTTGGCAGAGGGATAACTAACATCTCTCCCCACCAAGAACAAATCACTGATATATGACAAAAACATCGAAGCCATATGACTGCCAGTGATGACTCACATGGAGACAGACATATAGACAGCAACAGACCTGTACACAGGGCAGCAAAAAGTATTAGTACACTGCACTAATATAGTCTCTGATCTGGAGAACAGTGTTGTTGGTAGGTACACTGCACTAATATAGTCTCTGATCTGGAGAACAGTGTTGTTGGTAGGTACACTGCACTAATATAGTCTCTGATCTGGAGAACAGTGTTGTTGGTAGGTACACTGCACTAATATAGTCTCTGATCTGGAGAACCGTGTTGTTGGTAGGTACACTGCACTAATATAGTCTCTGATCTGGAGAACAGTGTTGTTGGTAGGTACACTGCACTAATACAGTCTCTGATCTGGAGAACAGTGTTGTTGGTAGGCACACTGCACTAATATAGTCTCTGATCTGGAGAACAGTGTTGTTGGTAGGTACACTGCACTAATATAGTCTCTGATCTGGAGAACAGTGTTGTTGGTAGGTACACTGCAATAATATAGTCTCTGATCTGGAGAACAGTGTTGTTGGTTCGTACACTGCACTAATATAGTCTCTGATCTGGAGAACAGTGTTGTTGGTAGGTACACTGCACTAATACAGTCTCTGATCTGGAGAACAGTGTTGTTGGTAGGTGCACTGTACTAATATAGTCTCTGATCTGGAGAACAGTGTTGTTGGTAGGTACACTGCACTAATATAGTCTCTGATCTGGAGAACAGTGTTGTTGGTAGGTACACTGCACTAATATAGTCTCTGATCTGGAGAACAGTGTTGTTGGTAGGTACACTGCACTAATATAGTCTCTGATCTGGAGAACAGTGTTGTTGGTAGGTACACTGCACTAATATAGTCTCTGATCTGGAGAACAGTGTTGTTGGTAGGTACACTGCACTAATATAGTCTCTGATCTGGAGAACAGTGTTGTTGGTAGGTACACTGCACTAATACAGTCTCTGATCTGGAGAACAGTGTTGTTGGTAGGTGCACTGCACTAATACAGTCTCTGATCTGGAGAACAGTGTTGTTGGTAGGTGCACTGCACTAATACAGTCTCTGATCTGGAGAACAGTGTTGTTGGTAGGTACACTGCACTAATACAGTCTCTGATCTGGAGAACAGTGTTGTTGGTAGGTACACTGCACTAATACAGTCTCTGATCTGGAGAACAGTGTTTGTTGGTAGGTACACTGCACTAATACAGTCTCTGATCTGGAGAACAGTGTTGTTGGTAGGTACACTGCACTAATACAGTCTCTGATCTGGAGAACAGTGTTGTTGGTAGGTACACTGCACTAATATAGTCTCTGATCTGGAGAACAGTGTTGTTGGTAGGTACACTGCACTAATACAGTCTCTGATCTGGAGAACAGTGTTGTTGGTAGGTACACTGCACTAATACAGTCTCTGATCTGGAGAACAGTGTTGTTGGTAGGTACACTGCACTAATACAGTCTCTGATCTGGAGAACAGTGTTGTTGGTAGGTACACTGCACTAATACAGTCTCTGATCTGGAGAACAGTGTTGTTGGTAGGTACAACTGCACTAATACAGTCTCTGATCTGGAGAACAGTGTTGTTGGTAGGTACACTGCACTAATACAGTCTCTGATCTGGAGAACAGTGTTGTTGGTAGGTACACTGCACTAATACAGTCTCTGATCTGGAGAACAGTGTTTGTTGGTAGGTACACTGCACTAATACAGTCTCTGATCTGGAGAACAGTGTTGTTGGTAGGTACACTGCACTAATATAGTCTCTGATCTGGAGAACAGTGTTGTTGGTAGGTACACTGCACTAATATAGTCTCTGATCTGGAGAACAGTGTTGTTGGTAGGTACACTGCACTAATATAGTCTCTGATCTGGAGAACAGTGTTGTTGGTAGGTACACTGCACTAATATAGTCTCTGATCTGGAGAACAGTGTTGTTGGTAGGTACACTGCACTAATATAGTCTCTGATCTGGAGAACAGTGTTGTTGGTAGGTACACTGCACTAATATAGTCCTCTGATCTGGAGAACAGTGTTGTTGGGTAGGGGTACACCACTAATATAGTCTCTGATCTGGAGAACAGTGTTGTTGGTAGGTACACTGCACTAATCTAGTCTCTGATCTTGGAAACAGTGTTGTTGGTAGTACACTGCACTAATATAGTCTCTGATCTGGAGAACAGTGTTGTTGGTAAGTACACTGCCTAATATAGTCTCTGATCTGGAGAACAGTGTTGTTGGTAGGTACACTGCACTAATACAGTCTCCTGATCTGGAGAACAGTGTTGTTGTAGGTACACTGCACTAATACAGTCTCTGATCTGGAGAAACAGTGTTGTTGGTAGGGTACACTGCACTAATACAGTCTCTGATCTGGAGAACAGTGTTGTTGTAGGTACACTGCACTAATACAGTCTCTGATCTGGAGAACAGTGTTGTTGGTAGGTACACTGCACTAATATAGTCTCTGATCTGGAGAACAGTGTTGTTGGTAGGTACACTGCACTAATATAGTCTCTGATCTGGAGAACAGTGTTGTTGGTACGTACACTGCACTTGTATCCTCTGGTCTTCTCGTGTTTGAGTGTGTGCATGATGAGAGCGTAGCGCCTGTGAAACGTCAGTCCACACTCTGAACAGGTGTGTTCTCCCTCCACCACGCTCCCTCCGTCTGGCTGGGCGGGGCCTTGACCTGGCTCCGGCCCCTCCGCCACAGCCTTCTCTGTGATAGGCTCAGCTCCGTCTGCCACGCCCTTCACTGATAGGATCTCCTCCATCTCTGTCTGGACAACAGCCTCGATCACTTTAACTGGCCTCTTGGTGGGTCCACCTCTCTTCTTGGGGGTGTTGGGGTTTATATTTGAGGGAGAGATACAGAACAGTTAGGATGGGTAAAGCCTCTCTCACACACACAGCTTAAAGACTGCTCTGCAAGACTAATGTATTTCCCCTGCTAATTCATCTACAGTGCCCTTTCTGATTCTCTAGTTTTGCATATTAAGGGGACAACTACATTTTCACACAGGGGATTTGGGTGTTGCATATCTTTGTTAATTAAATAAATAAGTATCAATATGTTGTTATTTGTAAACTCAGGTTCCCTTTATCTAATGTTAGGTTTTGGTTGAAGAATTTTGCAAAACTAGACAATCAGAAAGGGGTAAATACTTTTTCTCGGCGCTGTACTGTGATTATATTGGTGTTGGTGTTAGTCTACAGCCTACTTTGGGGGTGCTGGGACACTGGGGGGTCTGGCCTACCTTGGGGGTGCTGGGACACTGGGGGGTCTGGCCTACCTTGGGGGTGCTGGGACACTGGGGGGTCTGGCCTACCTTGGGGGTGCTGGGACACTGGGGGGTCTGGCCTACCTTGGGGGTGCTGGGACACTGGGGGGGTCTGGCCTACCTTGGGGGTGCTGGGACACTGGGGGGTCTGGCCTACCTTGGGGGTGCTGGGACACTGGGGGGTCTGGGCTTCCTTCTTGTCCTCTCCGTCCTCCTCCAGCCCCATGTGTAGTCTGACATACCCCCCCTCCCCCATGGAGCGCTGCCGTAGCCGTCTCTTATAGGGGTCATGGGTCCCCTGAATCTCCGCCTGCACCTCCTCTGCAGGAGTAGAGACCGGCTCTGGCACCTCCTCCTCGACAGGAGGCTCCTCCACAACCTCCTGCTTCACTTTGGCAGGCCGCCCTCTCTTCCTCTTGGGGAGTTGGGGAGCAGGGGGAGGCTGGGGCTCGGCCTGGGAAGCTGGCTCTGCCTTCTGGGACGCTGATGATGCTGTTGTTGACGCATTCTCCTTTGGTGTTGGGTCCTCCTGGAGGACACGTGGCATTACAGCCAGGTCTGTAGGGGCCACCTTCCCTGGGTCCACACTGATGAGGAAGGCCCCTGGCTCCATGGAGGGGGAGTCCCACTCGTCCCCGTCCTGTGGCTGCTGATCCAGGGCCAGACAGGCTGACACCACGGCTAGGGACTCACTGGCTCCGGCCTGGCCGCTGTGGGTGACCACCGTCATGGTCTCTGCCTCTCCAGTAGGGGAGATGAGGGTGACCGACTCACCTGCCTGGGCCTGGCCGCTGTGGGTGACTAGAGTCACCGTCTCGGACCCAGCCTCCCCAACCACAGTCATACTCTCCCCTGGTTCACCTCCCAGAGCCTGGGTGGCTACGGACATCGGATCACCTCCGAAGGCCTCTGCTGCGTGGGCCATGACAGCCAAGGAGTCCCCTGCTCCAGCCAGCCCAGTGTGAGTCACCACGGCATGGCCGTCGCTCCCGATGGTCATAATGTAGGTTTCTTCATTCAGGGCCTGTTGGGGTGCAGGCTGGCTGGACACCACCGTGTGGATGTCTCCTTGCTGGTACACCATCAGCTTCTGCTCCTCTACCTTCTTGTGGACGGACTCACAGATCTGAAGGACCTCGGCCATCAGAAGGTGTCGGGCCAGCGTGGCCACGTCGGCCATCACGCAGAAGTTGAAGCAGAGGTTGGAGGTGTAGGCAAACTCCAGCAGGGGAAGGAAAGTGACCTTGCTGAACCCTGAGCATAGAGACGGAGAGACAAAGGTTGTTCCTCTGACCAGACCACTTCAGTAAAATGACAACGTTCATGCATTTTCACAGTACATTATATTACACTAAGACGTCACCACAACCACTCTAGAAACAGACTAATACACTACTAAATAAAGTACTGCTTCCCTCCTGGTGTCTGTCCGCATGCTAAATGAAGTACTGCTTCCCTCCTGGTGTCTGTCCCCATGTTAAATGAAGTACTGCTTCCCTCCTGGTGTCTGTCCCCATGTTAAATGAAGTACTGCTTCCCTCCTGGTGTCTGTCCCCATGCTAAATGAAGTACTGCTTCCCTCCTGGTGTCTGTCCCCATGTTAAATGAAGTACTGCTTCCCTCCTGGTGTCTGTCCCCATGTTAAATGAAGTACTGCTTCCCTCCTGGTGCCTGTCCCCATGCTAAATGAAGTACTGCTTCCCTCCTGGTGTCTGTCCCCATACTAAATGAAGTACTGCTTCCCTCCTGGTGTCTGTCCCCATGTTAAATGAAGTACTGCTTCCCTCCTGGGGCTTCCCTCCTGGTGTCTGTCCCCATGCTAAATGCATCCCTCCTGGTGCCTGTCCCCATGCTAAATGCTTCCCTCCTGGTGTCTGTCCCCATGCTAAATGCTTCCCTCCTGGTGCCTGTCCCCATGCTAAATGCTTCCCTCCTGGTGTCTGTCCCCATGCTAAATGCTTCCCTCCTGGTGCCTGTCCCCATGCTAAATGCTTCCCTCCTGGTGTCTGTCCCCATGCTAAATGCTTCCCTCCTGGTGTCTGTCCCCATGCTAAATGATTCCCTCCTGGTGTCTGTCCCCATGCTAAATGCTTCCCTCCTGGTGTCTGTCCCCATGCTAAATGCTTCCCTCCTGGTGCCTGTCCCCATGTGGTCCTGTATGGCTCAGTAAGAGCATGGTGCAATCAACACCAAAGTTGTGGGTTCAAGTCCAACAGGGATCATCTGCACATACTAAAACGTATGCACTAAATGCATGGTAAGTACACTACATGACCAAAAGTATGCGGACACCCGCTCGTCGAACATCTCATTCCAAAATCATGGGCATTAATATGGAGTTGGTCCCCCCCTTTGCTGCTATAACAGCTTCCACTCTTCTGGGAAGGCTTTCCACTAGATGTTGGAACATTGCTGCAGGGACTTGCTTCCATTCAGCCACAAGAGCATTAGTGAAGTCGGGCACTGATGTTGGGCGATTAAGCCTGGCTCGCAGTCGGCGTTCCAATTCACCCTAAAGGTGTTCGATGGGGTTGAGGTCAGGGCTCTCTGCAGGCCAGTCAAGTTCTTCCACACCGATCTCGACAAACCATTTCTGTATGGACCTCACTTTGTGCACAGGGGCATTGTCATGCTGAAACAGGAAAGGGCCTTCCCCAAACTGTTGCCAAAAAGTTGGAAGCACAGAATCGTCTAGAATGTTATTGTACAGTGCCTTGCAAAAGTATTCATCCCCCATGGCGTTTTTTTCCCCTATTTTTCTGCATTACAACCTGTAATTTAAATGGATTTCATGTAATGGACATACACAAAATAGTCCAAATTGGTGAAGTGAAATGAAAAAAATTACTTGTTTCAAAAAATTCTAAAAAATAAATAACGGAAATGTGGTGCGTGCATATGTATTCACCCCCTTTGCTATGAAGCCCCTAAATAAGATCTGGTGCAACCAATTACCTTCAGAAGTCACATAATTAGTTAAATAAAGTCCACCTGTGTGCAATCTAAGTGTCACATGATCTGTCACATGATCTCAGTATATATACACACCTGTTCTGAAAGGCCCCAGAGTCTGCAACACCACTAAGCAAGGGGCACCACCAAGCAAGCGGCACCATGAAGACCAAGGAGCTCTCCAAACAGGTCAGGGACAAAGGTGTGGAGAAGTACAGATCAGGGTTGGGTTATAAAAAAATATCTGAAACTTTGAACATCCCACGGAGCACCATTAAATCCATTATTAAAACATGGAAAGAATAAGGCACCACAACAAACCTGCCAAGAGAGGGCTGCCCACCAAAACTCACGGACCAGGCAAGGAGGGCATTAATCAGAGAGGCAACAAAGAGACCAAAGATAACCCTGAAGGAGCTGCAAAGCTCCACAGCACCACTTTAAGCCGTACACTCCACAGAGCTGGGCTTTACGGAAGAGTGGCCAGAAAAAAGCCATTGCTTAAAGAAAAAAATAAGCAAACATGTTTGGTGTTCGCCAAAAGGCATGAGGGAGACTCCCCAAACATATGGAAGAAGGTACTCTGGTCAGATTAGACTAAAATTGAGCTTTTTGGCCATCAAGGGAAACGCTATGTCTGGCGCGAACCCAACACCTCATCACCCCGAGAACACCATCCAGCAGGACAATGACCCTAAGCATACTGCTAAAGCAACACTCAAGTGGTTTAAGGGGAAACATTTAAATGTCTTGGAATGGCCTAGTCAAAGCCCAGACCACAATCCAATTGAGAATCTGTGGTATGACTTAAAGATTGCTGTACACCAGTGGAACCCATCCAACTTGAAGGAGCTGGAGCAGTTTTGCCTTGAAGAATGAGCAAAAATCCCAGTGGCTAGATGTGCCAAGCTTATAGAGACATACCCCAAGAGACTTGCAGCTGTAATTGCTGCAAAAGGTGGCTCTACAAAGTATTGACTTTGGGGGATGAATAGTTATGCACGCTCAAGTTTATTTTTTTGTGTTATTTCTTGTTTGTTCACCAAAAAAAGTATTTTGCATCTTCAAAGTGGTAGGCATGTTGTGTAAATCAAATGATACAAACCCCCCAAAAAATCCATTTTAATTCCAGGTTGTAAGGCAACAAAATAGGAAAAAATGCCAAGGGGGGTGAATATTTTCGCAAGCCACTGTACGTTGTAGCGTTAAGATTTCCCTTCACTGGAACTAAGGGGCCTAGCCCGAACCATGAAAACCAGCCCCAGACCATTATTCCTCCTCCACCAAACTTTACAGTTGGCACTATGGATTGGGACAGGTAACGTTCTCCTGGCATCCGCCAAACCCAGATTGGTCTGTCGGACTGTCAAATGGTGAAGCGTGATTCATCACTCCAGAGATTGCGATTCCACTTCTCCAGAGTCCAATGGAGGCGAGCTTTACACCACTCCAGCCAACGCTTGTCATTGCGCATGGTGATCTTAGGCTTGTGTGCCGCTGCTCGGCCATGGAAACCTATTTCATGAAGCTCCCGACGAAAAAGTTATTGTGCTGACGTTGCTTCCAGAGGCAGGTTGGAACTATTAGAATCCACTAATATGAAGGGGTGTCCACATACTGCTGTATATATAGTGTATCTCTATTAGAATCCACTAATATGAAGGGGTGTCCTCATACTGCTGTATACATAGTGTATCTCTATTATAATCCACTAATATGAAGGGGTGTCCTCATACTGCTGTATATATAGTGTATCTCTATTAGAATCCACTAATATGAAGGGGTGTCCACATACTGCTGTATATATAGTGTATCTCTATTAGAATCCACTAATATGAAGGGGTGTCCACATACTGCTGTATATATAGTGTATCTCTATTAGAATCCACTAATATGAAGGGGTGTCCACATACTGCTGTATACATAGTGTATCTCTATTAGAATCCACTAATATGAAGGGGTGTCCTCATACTGCTGTATACATAGTGTATCTCTATTAGAATCCACTAATATGAAGGGGTGTCCACATACTGCTGTATACATAGTGTATCTCTATTAGAATCCACTAATATGAAGGGGTGTCCACATACTGCTGTATATATAGTGTATCTCTATTAGAATCCACTAATATGAAGGGGTGTCTACATACTGCTGTATATATAGTGTATCTCTATTAGAATCCACTAATATGAAGGGGTGTCCACATACTGCTGTATATATAGTGTACCTCTATTAGAATCCACTAATATGAAGGGGTGTCTACATACTGCTGTATATATAGTGTATCTCTATTAGAATCCACTAATATGAAGGGGTGTCCACATACTGCTGTATACATACTGTATCTCTATTAGAATCCACTAATATGAAGGGGTGTCCTCATACTGCTGTATATATAGTGTATCTCTATTAGAATCCACTAATGTGAAGGGGTGTCCACATACTGCTGTATATATAGTGTATCTCTATTAGAATCCACTAATATGAAGGGGTGTCTACATACTGCTGTATACATAGTGTATCTCTATTAGAATCCACTAATATGAAGGGGTGTCCACATACTGCTGTATATATAGTGTATCTCTATTAGAATCCACTAATATGAAGGGGTGTCCACATACTGCTGTATACATAGTGTATCTCTATTAGAATCCACTAATATGAAGGGGTGTCCACATACTGCTGTATACATAGTGTATCTCTATTAGAATCCACTAATATGAAGGGGTGTCCTCATACTGCTGTATATATAGTGTATCTCTATTAGAATCCACTAATATGAAGGGGTGTCCACATACTGCTGTATACATAGTGTATCTCTATTAGAATCCACTAATATGAAGGGGTGTCCTCATACTGCTGTATATATAGTGTATCTCTATTAGAATCCACTAATATGAAGGGGTGTCCACATACTGCTGTATATATAGTGTATCTCTATTAGAATCCACTAATATGAAGGGGTGTCCACATACTGCTGTATATATAGTGTACCTCTATTAGAATCCACTAATATGAAGGGGTGTCCTCATACTGCTGTATATATAGTGTATCTCTATTAGAATCCACTAATATGAAGGGGTGTCCTCATACTGCTGTATATATAGTGTATCTCTATTAGAATCCACTAATATGAAGGGGTGTCCACATACTGCTGTATATATAGTGTACCTCTATTAGAATCCACTAATATGAAGGGGTGTCCTCATACTGCTGTATATATAGTGTATCTCTATTAGAATCCACTAATATGAAGGGGTGTCCTCATACTGCTGTATATATAGTGTATCTCTATTAGAATCCACTAATATGAAGGGGTGTCCTCATACTGCTGTATACATAGTGTATCTCTATTAGAATCCACTAATATGAAGGGGTGTCCACATACTGCTGTATATATAGTGTATCTCTATTAGAATCCACTAATATGAAGGGGTGTCCACATACTGCTGTATACATAGTGTATCTCTATTAGAATCCACTAATATGAAGGGGTGTCCACATACTGCTGTATACATAGTGTATCTCTATTAGAATCCACTAATATGAAGGGGTGTCCTCATACTGCTGTATATATAGTGTATCTCTATTAGAATCCACTAATATGAAGGGGTGTCCACATACTGCTGTATACATAGTGTATCTCTATTAGAATCCACTAATATGAAGGGGTGTCCTCATACTGCTGTATATATAGTGTATCTCTATTAGAATCCACTAATATGAAGGGGTGTCCACATACTGCTGTATATATAGTGTATCTCTATTAGAATCCACTAATATGAAGGGGTGTCCACATACTGCTGTATATATAGTGTACCTCTATTAGAATCCACTAATATGAAGGGGTGTCCTCATACTGCTGTATATATAGTGTATCTCTATTAGAATCCACTAATATGAAGGGGTGTCCTCATACTGCTGTATATATAGTGTATCTCTATTAGAATCCACTAATATGAAGGGGTGTCCACATACTGCTGTATATATAGTGTACCTCTATTAGAATCCACTAATATGAAGGGGTGTCCTCATACTGCTGTATATATAGTGTATCTCTATTAGAATCCACTAATATGAAGGGGTGTCCACATACTGCTGTATATATAGTGTACCTCTATTAGAATCCACTAATATGAAGGGGTGTCCTCATACTGCTGTATATATAGTGTATCTCTATTAGAATCCACTAATATGAAGGGGTGTCCTCATACTGCTGTATATATAGTGTATCTCTATTAGAATCCACTAATGTGAAGGGGTGTCCTCATACTGCTGTATATATAGTGTATCTCTATTAGAATCCACTAATATGAAGGGGTGTCCTCATACTGCTGTATATATAGTGTATCTCTATTAGAATCCACTAATATGAAGGGGTGTCCACATACTGCTGTATATATAGTGTATCTCTATTAGAATCCACTAATATGAAGGGGTGTCCACATACTGTTGTATATATAGTGTATCTCTATTAGAATCCACTAATATGAAGGGGTGTCCTCATACTGCTGTATATATAGTGTATCTCTATTAGAATCCACTAATATGAAGGGGTGTCCACATACACTATATATACAGCAGTATGTGGACACCCCTTCATATTAGTGGATTCTAATAGAGATACACTATATATACAGCAGTATGAGGACACCCCTTCATATTAGTGGATTCTAATAGAGATACACTATATATACAGCAGTATGTGGACACCCCTTCATATTAGTGGATTCTAATAGAGATACACTATATATACAGCAGTATCTCTATTAGAATCCACTAATATGAAGGGGTGTCCTCATACTGCTGTATATATAGTGTATCTCTATTAGAATCCACTAATATGAAGGGGTGTCCACATACTGCTGTATATATAGTGTATCTCTATTAGAATCCACTAATATGAAGGGGTGTCCTCATACTGCTGTATACATAGTGTATCTCTATTAGAATCCACTAATATGAAGGGGTGTCCACATACTGCTGTATATATAGTGGATCTCTATTAGAATCCACTAATATGAAGGGGTGTCCTCATACTGCTGTATATATAGTGTATCTCTATTAGAATCCACTAATATGAAGGGGTGTCCACATACTGCTGTATATATAGTGTATCTCTATTAGAATCCACTAATATGAAGGGGTGTCCTCATACTGCTGTATATATAGTGTATCTCTATTAGAATCCACTAATATGAAGGGGTGTCCTCATACTGCTGTATATATAGTGTATCTCTATTAGAATCCACTAATATGAAGGGGTGTCCACATACTGCTGTATATATAGTGTATCTCTATTAGAATCCACTAATATGAAGGGGTGTCCACATACTGCTGTATATATAGTGTATCTCTATTAGAATCCACTAATATGAAGGGGTGTCCACATACTGCTGTATATATAGTGTATCTCTATTAGAATCCACTAATATGAAGGGGTGTCCACATACTGCTGTATATATAGTGTATCTCTATTAGAATCCACTAATATGAAGGGGTGTCCACATACTGCTGTATATATAGTGTATCTCTATTAGAATCCACTAATATGAAGGGGTGTCCACATACTGCTGTATATATAGTGTATCTCTATTATAATCCACTAATATGAAGGGGTGTCCACATACTGCTGTATACATAGTGTATCTCTATTAGAATCCACTAATATGAAGGGGTGTCATCATACTGCTGTATATATAGTGTACCTCTATTAGAATCCACTAATATGAAGGGGTGTCCACATAATACTGTATACATAGTGTATCTCTATTAGAATCCACTAATATGAAGGGGTGTCATCATACTGCTGTATATATAGTGTACCTCTATTAGAATCCACTAATATGAAGGGGTGTCCACATAATACTGTATATATAGTGTATCTCTATTAGAATCCACTAATATGAAGGGGTGTCCTCATACTGCTGTATATATAGTGTATCTCTATTAGAATCCACTAATATGAAGGGGTGTCCACATACTGCTGTATACATAGTGTATCTCTATTAGAATCCACTAATATGAAGGGGTGTCCACATACTGCTGTATATATAGTGTATCTCTATTAGAATCCACTAATATGAAGGGGTGTCCACATACTGCTGTATACATAGTGTATCTCTATTAGAATCCACTAATATGAAGGGGTGTCCACATACTGCTATATATATAGTGTATCTCTATTAGAATCCACTAATATGAAGGGGTGTCCACATACTGCTGTATATATAGATATGAAGGGGTGTCCACATACTGCTGTATACATAGTGTATCTCTATTAGAATCCACTAATATGAAGGGGTGTCCACATACTGCTATATATATAGTGTATCTCTATTAGAATCCACTAATATGAAGGGGTGTCCACATACTGCTGTATATATAGATATGAAGGGGTGTCCACATACTGCTGTATACATAGTGTATCTCTATTAGAATCCACTAATATGAAGGGGTGTCCACATACTGCTGTATATATAGTGTATCTCTATTAGAATCCACTAATATGAAGGGGTGTCCACATACTGCTGTATATATAGTGTACCTCTATTAGAATCCACTAATATGAAGGGGTGTCCACATACTGCTGTATATATAGTGCATCTCTATTAGAATCCACTAATATGAAGGGGTGTCCACATACTGCTGTATATATAGTGTATCTCTATTAGAATCCACTAATATGAAGGGGTGTCCACATACTGCTGTATACATAGTGTATCTCTATTAGAATCCACTAATATGAAGGGGTGTCCACATACTGCTGTATATATAGTGTATCTCTATTAGAATCCACTAATATGAAGGGGTGTCCACATACTGCTATATATATAGTGTATCTCTATTAGAATCCACTAATATGAAGGGGTGTCCACATACTGCTGTATATATAGATATGAAGGGGTGTCCACATACTGCTGTATACATAGTGTATCTCTATTAGAATCCACTAATATGAAGGGGTGTCCACATACTGCTATATATATAGTGTATCTCTATTAGAATCCACTAATATGAAGGGGTGTCCACATACTGCTGTATATATAGATATGAAGGGGTGTCCACATACTGCTGTATACATAGTGTATCTCTATTAGAATCCACTAATATGAAGGGGTGTCCACATACTGCTGTATATATAGTGCATCTCTATTAGAATCCACTAATATGAAGGGGTGTCCTCATACTGCTGTATATATAGTGTATCTCTATTAGAATCCACTAATATGAAGGGGTGTCCACATACTGCTGTATACATAGTGTACCTTTGAATAAATGATGGCTCACCTGAGAGATCGACCACTGCTTCATGACTGGACACAGCTCCCTTCTCTATAAACAGCTCATTAAAGTAGTCGCTGCAGGCGGCCAGCACAGCCTTGTGAGCTCTGTGCTCCTCCCCCTCGATCAGCAGCGTGATGTCACAGAACTGGTTGTTGAGGCGCTGCTGGTTCAGCTTGTCCAGCATCGTCTGACCATGTCTGGGAAGGTACTGCTTCACCAACCCCTTACTGTCCACCTGGAACACAACAACAATACAACTGTTTCATCTTACTGTCCACCTGCAACACAATAACAACTGTTTCATCTTACTGTCCACCTGCAACACAATAACAACTGTTTCATCTTACTGTCCACCTGCAACACAATAACAACTGTTTCATCTTACTGTCCACCTGCAACACAATAACAACTGTTTCATCTTACTGTCCACCTGCAACACAATAACAACTGTTTCATCTTACTGTCCACCTGGAACACAACAACAATACAACTGTTTCATCTTACTGTCCACCTGCAACACATTAACAACTGTTTCATCTTACTGTCCACCTGCAACACATTAACAACTGTTTCATCTTCCTGTCCACCTGGAACACAATAACAACTGTTTCATCTTACTGTCCACCTGGAACACAATAACAACTGTTTCATCTTACTGTCCACCTGGAACACAATACAACTGTTTAATCTTACTGTCCACCTGGAACACAATAACAACTGTTTCATCTTACTGTCCACCTGGAACACAATAACAACTGTTTCATCTTACTGTCCACCTGGAACACAATAACAACTGTTTCATCTTACTGTCCACCTGGAACACAATAACAACTGTTTCATCTTACTGTCCACCTGCAACACAACAACTGTCTCATCTTACTGTCCACCTGGAACACAATAACAATGGTTTCATCTTACTGTCCACCTGCAACACAACAACTGTTTCATCTTACTGTCCACCTGGAACACAATAACAACTGTTTAATCTTACTGTCCACCTGCAACACAATAACAACTGTTTCATCTTACTGTCCACCTGCAACACAACAACTGTTTCATCTTACTGTCCACCTACAACACAATAACAACTGTTTAATCTTACTGTCCACCTGCAACACAATAACAACTGTTTCATCTTACTGTCCACCTGCAACACAACAACTGTTTCATCTTACTGTCCACCTGGAACACAATAACAACTGTTTAATCTTACTGTCCACCTGCAACACAATAACAACTGTTTCATCTTACTGTCCACCTGCAACACAACAACTGTTTCATCTTACTGTCCACCTGGAACACAATAACAACTGTTTCATCTTACTGTCCACCTGCAACACAACAACTGTTTCATCTTACTGTCCACCTACAACACAATAACAACTGTTTAATCTTACTGTCCACCTGCAACACAATAACAACTGTTTCATCTTACTGTCCACCTGCAACACAACAACTGTTTCATCTTACTGTCCACCTGGAACACAATAACAACTGTTTAATCTTACTGTCCACCTGCAACACAATAACAACTGTTTCATCTTACTGTCCACCTGCAACACAACAACTGTTTCATCTTACTGTCCACCTACAACACAATAACAACTGTTTAATCTTACTGTCCACCTGCAACACAATAACAACTGTTTCATCTTACTGTCCACCTGCAACACAACAACTGTTTCATCTTACTGTCCACCTGGAACACAATAACAACTGTTTCATCTTACTGTCCACCTGGAACACAATAACAACTGTTTCATCTTACTGTCCACCTGCAACACAACAACTGTTTCATCTTACTGTCCACCTGGAACACAATAACAACTGTTTCATCTTACTGTCCACCTGCAACACAACAACTGTCTCATCTTACTGTCCACCTGGAACACAATAACAATGGTTTCATCTTATTGTCCACCTGCAACACAACAACTGTTTCATCTTACTGTCCACCTGCAACACAATAACAACTGTTTCATCTTACTGTCCACCTGCAACACAATAACAACTGTTTCATCTTACTGTCCACCTGCAACACATTAACAACTGTTTCATCTTACTGTCCACCTGGAACACAACAACAATACAACTGTTTCATCTTACTGTCCACCTGCAACACATTAACAACTGTTTCATCTTACTGTCCACCTGCAACACATTAACAACTGTTTCATCTTCCTGTCCACCTGGAACACAATAACAACTGTTTCATCTTACTGTCTACCTGGAACACAATAACAACTGTTTCATCTTACTGTCCACCTGCAACACAACAACTGTTTCATCTTACTGTCCACCTGGAACACAATAACAACTGTTTCATCTTACTGTCCACCTGCAACACAATAACAACTGTTTAATCTTACTGTCCACCTGCAACACAATAACAACTGTTTCATCTTACTGTCCACCTGCAACACAACAACTGTTTCATCTTACTGTCCACCTGGAACACAATAACAACTTTTTCATCTTGCTGTCCACCTGCAACACAACAACTGTTTCATCTTACTGTCCACCTGGAACACAATAACAACTGTTTCATCTTACTGTCCACCTGGAACACAATAACAACTGTTTCATCTTACTGTCCACCTGCAACACAATAACAACTGTTTCATCTTACTGTCCACCTGGAACACAATAACAACTGTTTCATCTTACTGTCCACCTGCAACACAACAACTGTCTCATCTTACTGTCCACCTGGAACACAATAACAACTGTTTCATCTTACTGTCCACCTGCAACACAACAACTGTCTCATCTTACTGTCCACCTGGAACACAATAACAACGGTTTCATCTTATTGTCCACCTGCAACACAACAACTGTTTCATCTTACTGTCCACCTGGAACACAATAACAACCGTTTCATCTTACTGTCCACCTGCAACACAATAACAATACACCAATTAATGGGGTAATTTCAATATTCATCATGCATGCATAACTTAGTAATCAAACCATTTATTTTTGTGAACAAGAGAGTAAATTATCAACACCAGGCATGAGCACCTCAAAAGCCAGATGAGGCATGTCGTCTACATCACATTCAACATGCACTAGCCTAGTTAGTTCAGTTATGTTTCTTTGAGTGAGTGAATTCTGTTAATTGACTGAAGAAAATATTTCACAGCGAAGTGATAATTCCCAAAGAAATTCAGCAACACTCACAAAGACCAGTTCGTGTTTGGCCACTGTTTTGGGGCTCCAGGTCTTCTGATCGATGGAAGTCACAAAGTCCATCTCCTCGTTGTCGTCGTCCTCCTCCTCCTCCTCCTCCTCGCTGGCTGGGGTTGTGACCCTCCTACGTCTCCCTGGTCGGCCAACCAGTCTGGGTCCGGTACCGTCCTCTGATAGCCCTCGCCGGTCCTGTCTGCTCTGGCACTGGCTGCATTGTCTCATGTAGTCCTTGACCTGCTTTAGGATACCTGAAATTTGATAGATACACAGGGTTAATCACATTGCAAAATGTATTGCCAATGAACATACACACAAGCTACAGTTGCTAGATTTATTCCACATTCATTATTATGGAGCATTAGTACTGGTGTCATCACACCAATAAAAAGTAGGCAGTTAAGGCCAAAAGTCTGTTTTTGAAACCTGTTGGGCATGCATGGCGAGAGGTTGGCATTGAATTTGAATATTGATGAGTGGCGTGTGTTGACAAGTATACCATGCATTGACCAATCCAACACCGGTTGACTACCTAGCTAGCCATAGATTAACTATTAGGGAAGACTGTAAACCGGTGCTTTGTTTTACGCATGTTCTCAGGCCTAGATAAAATAACATTTGTGTTGCCAGATAATTTAGCAGTTGTATGCTATTTTACCCCTCCACCAATACTTCTGAGAAATTGATTCCCAAGTGTGATGCTGGTTGAGGTGCTCTCCTCCGGCGACGATGTGGGACTCGTCGATAAGTTCCTTCCTGCGTCCTGCCTGCAACACCACTTCCAACTCGGTGAATTCATCCAGGCCTTTCTGCCTTCTCTGGTAGTACAGTGTGCCATTCCGCACGACATAACAAGCGGCTGCTTTACGAATCTTTCTTTTAGTATTGCCATGGGTCCCTGGCGCGTACGGCTCCCGCTCATCGGACAGATAGCGTCTGATGGCTAAGTAGCTTTCCTCGCACGACATAACCTCAATTATCCGGGCGCACAACACAAATTACGATATTTATTTCGAAGAAAATGTCCTCTTCGAACTTTTTAATATTAAACAGATTTTTTAAAATCCGTTTTAAAGTACCACATAGTATAAATAAAGCGATATAAATACAATATTTAGGGTCATTTCGAAGTGGGAACGCAGTTGTTGAACGTGAGGGGTAGACTTGCATGAACAGACAAAATGGCTGCTGCACAACCGGATGTTGCGTCAGAAATGGCGGAAGATGGAGAAACGACATAACACCTTGCTGTGTACCTTTCTGACCACAAGAGGGCGCAATGTTTCACGAAACCGCAAGAAACTGGGCTATTATCTCGTTTCGATGCGCTCTCATGATTCGTTTCATAAGCTATTATTCTTCTAGTGTAATTCTTTTTTTAAATAATGCATCTTTCTTTTATTTTCTCTTTTGCATATTTCAATGGATAATGGTAATAAGAAAACCTTGAATATTTTACTTGTTGGAATAAAGTAAAAAATTCCCAAATATCTATTCAGAAACAGTTAGTGATCCGGGATCCTTGGGATGTCCCTACCCTAAATTCTAGCCCAAACCTTAACCCCTACCCTAACCTTAACCCTTACCTTAACCATTTAAATGTAAACTTCAGTGGGGTGACGTCAGAGTTGGGACGTCCCAATTGGATCCTGTTTAACATTTTTCATTCAGCAACAGCAATGTAATGACCTTCGTCCTATCCTTTTCATCCAGTAGGTGTTCCCAGGTGACTGGCAGGTGCCAGTGTGTGTGGTGTCATGCTCCACAGTTACCAGTGCCACTATGCATCATGCCCTTCATTTTCCCCACCAAGGAAGGACATTATAGGTAAGGTTAGGAGCAGGCAGGGCATTTAGGAGTAAGGGTGGATTTTTCTGGGAGATTTCAGTGTATTACATTACCAATTAACATTATCCATTACCACAAACACAAAAATTAATCTTATTAGCCCATAGGTCGTTCCACGAAGAGTTCCTTTTGCTTCCCTTTGATATTTTAAGTAGAAATTCTGCACCAATATTGAATTAAACACTGTTATATTAAATTAAGTGCCCTTTAATATAGACGACATGGAGAATTCAATAAGTCAGCGTTCAGCGTTTTTACATGTCCCTCCAGCAACCCCGTGTCACTTCTAGGAATATTTTAATGCTCTTAACCACAACGTTTCTCCATGTTTCACCGTCATTATAAAGCCCTCGTTATTTTGTTGGTTTAACAAAGTCATTTCTGAAGATGATTTATTTAATATGATTAGTGATTCTGACAGACCTACAAGTCTCAAACAGGGAAAGTATTGAGTCTACTTACTGGCAAACATAAATCTGAAACGGGGAAAGTATTGAATTTACTTACTCACAGACATACAAGTCTGAAACAGGGAAAGTATTGAGTCTACTTACTGGCAAACATAAATCTGAAACGGGGAAAGTATTGAATTTACTTACTCACAGACATACAAGTCTGAAACGGGGAAAGTATTGAGTTTACTTAATTATGTACAGTGCATTCA